GTTTTAGAAGTAGATCTCTCTCATTCGAAGATCACTCTACTTGTCTCCACCCCTCAAGCAAGCAAATAAACAAACAACAAATCCTGTTGGGAGTATGACCACTGTGCTCCTGGACAGCAGAGTGGTCAGAGAAGGCTGGTAGAAGTCACTGACCTTGAGTGGCACTTTGCTTTCACTATTTGGCACTTTTTCTTAGGTGTGTAGTGTACAGTGTACAGGAGATAAGTCATATCCATCACACTTTTCTGCCTAAGTCTCAGAAGAGGGCTTCTCTTTGTGTTACTTCGTGATTCCTCCTTGTCTCTCTCCAAGGTGCTGGTCATTGTTGAGTGGGCAAGGAGTTGCCAGCACTAGACTTGATCTTGGCTCTGGCTCTGGCTCTGGCTCTGGCTCCAGGCATCTGAGTGCCCATAAGTGTTTAGGGAGATTGGCGCGAGTGTCCTGAGGGCTCCCTTCCTACTTACAACATGCTCGCTCTTACCTGGCTACCTTTGATTGAGTGCTAGAGGGCCTTGTGTTCTTGATGGAACCCAGAACTGGTCTAGCTCTCCTCCCATCCTCCACTGTGCCCCTAGCAGAACATACCACTGTGGGATCTCCTACGTGGCTTACATGGTCTTCCCTTGCAGCGCAATGTCCCTGCTCTTCTCTCGATGCAACTCCATCGTCACGGTCAAGAAGGATAAGAGACACATGGCTGAAGTGAATGCTTCCCCACTCAAGCACTTTGTCACTGCCAAAAAGAAGATCAACGGCATCTTTGAACAGCTAGGGGCTTATATCCAGGAGAGTGCCACCTTCCTCGAAGGTGAGACGGACACCTGCTCAGCCAGGCCCATTTTGATCCATTGAGATATTAGGTAGCAGGATTTGGGGTGGGGAAGTACAGCACTGTTTTAGGTGAGCTCATGGTCAGGTGGGTCATCACCTTCAGCTGTGCTCTGTTCTTAGAATCCTGTGGACCTAAGCTCCAGGAAGTTTGAGCCAGGAAGACATGGAAAGTACAATTTAAGAATTGACTTAAGAATTCCATGTGTTTTGTGGGCTAGGGGAGTGGCTCAAGTGGTAGAGCACCTGCCTAGGAGGCCTAGAGTTCAAACCCCAGTACTATAAAAACAACAAAACAAAACAAAAGTTATTTATTTTGTTTTCTTTAATCACAAAGCTTTGTGAATCTTATCCCCATGTAAAAGGCAAGCTGATTGAAGTTTGAGAACTGTCTGATACTTGGAAGGGACCAAACTGTCTTTACCTAGGTGTCTCCATGGCCCATGTGTTTTCCTTGGCCTGGTTCTGGCTGCCATAATACCAGAGTGTTGGTTATCCCAGATAGGGTTCCCTCTGATATTTTTAGATTGGTGACAGAGCTACAAATAGGAAACTCACGTCACTGTGTCTTTTCTACTAGTTGCTAATTTGAGCCCAGTCTCTCGTCCCTGCCCTGTCAGCAGAGGACTGCTTACACTTGGTACAAGCGCTGACTCCAGCCATGGGCTGTCTCAGGCTCCCTCTCTAGAAGGTCACCTTGGCTTCAGGTCCGGGGATTGTCTGTGAGGGAAGACCCAGCAGCTGAGTCTTTCCTGCCCTTGGTTTCTTCATTTGTGAAAGAGTCTCATATGAGAGCAGGGGTTTTCAGATGCTTGTCTGTAGAATCTGACAAGTCCAGTGTGAAGCGTGTGGCACAGGTGGGCCCTTCCTCTCCAGTCTGCTTTCAGCAAGAGTCACTTGGCTTCTTGTCTCGAATGGCCAGGTTGCCACATGAGGCTCCCATTAAAGAAACGGACATGTCCAGTTTCATTAACCTGTCTGTGTCCTGTCCCTCACATGGGGCTTGATGCAAAAGAAGGGTGACTCCTAAATGAAAAAATCTAAATTTTAAACGTATATAATTGGAGGTTGAAATGATTCCACCTTACTATCTGTTTATTTAGCAGAAGCTGTGCTCTACCTGGCCCTGTGCCAGGTGTAAGTATGCAGATAGGGCCAACCTGGCTGCTGCCCTCCCAGAGCCCTCTGTGTTGCTCTGAGTCACTTCCTCGCATGATGCAGTGGACAACACGTGCTTCATGAAGGTGTTTATGTCATGGTGCTTGGTGTCTCTCTTCATGAAAATATGAGGCCCTTGCTTGTTATTAACATGGAAGGAAACAGCTGGAGTGATGCTGAGATGTGTTTGCAATTGCTCTGTGTAGGGGAGGGGATGCTTCTCACCTGGGTGAGTAATGAGTAATGAGAGTTGGTCTGCCTGCTGGCTCTTTTTTTTTTTGCAGTACTGAGGCTTGAACATAGGGCTTTCACCTTGAGCCACTCCGCCAGCCCTATTTTTATGAAAAGTTTTTTGAGATAGTGTCTCAAGAACTATTTGCCTGGGCTGGCTTTGAACTGCAATCCTCCTGCTCTCTACCTCCTGAGTAGTTAGGATTACAGGCGTGAGCCACTGGCGCCTGGCTGTTGGCTCTTTCTTTGCATTGTAACCACAGGCTTGAGAGCCAAGTTCTTCCTAGGGATATTGCAAAGACCATACCCATGTGCCCACTGATGAGAGGAATATTGCTGGGTCTGGGGTTGGGTTGACTGGTTAATGGGAAGAGTGGGGAGTGTTGGCTTGGTCTCTTCCCTTTCATGGTACTAGCTATAGAGAAAATTCACTGAGTAGTCTCTGAAATGCCACTTGTCATACTCCAGATGCTTTGAGAGTGTTCACTGGGCTAGGTCCTGCCAGTCTGCTGGTTCTCAAGAGTGCTGAGGTAACTCAAGTACTCATTCACTTAGCCAATATTGGCATATCTGCTGGGGGCTAGAATCATTTGTTTGCTCCTCATGTGGTAGATGGTGCAGACAGGTGAGCTAGCCAGCTATATCATGGTGAGGTAAGTGCCAATGGGAGAAGTACAGCATGCTGTGGGTACACAGACAAAGGGAACCTACTCAGGTGGGGTTGTGATCAGGAAAGGCTTCCTGGGGCTCTGCGATCTAAGCTAGACCTGAGACCAAATGGGAATGAGCCAGACTGCTCTAAGGCATTGTTGCATCCATTCTTCAGAGTGTGGGCAGGGTTTGGGCAGCAGTGAGCAAAGCCCAGAGGGGTGAAGAAACTGGCATGTTTGGGGAGATAGTGTGGGGGAATGAGAGGCAGAGAATGGCAGCAGACAAGAGAGGCCAGCAGGGCCAGATCCGGAGGGACCTTGCAAAGTGACATGGAATGGTTAAGATCCTAAACTCCAGAATCTGGCTGCCTGGTTCAAATCCCAGCTCTGCCATTTTCTGACTGTGCCAAAGAGGGTCAAATGAGACCATGTTTGAGAAGTGACTACAACAGTGTCTAGCCTTGTGGTGAGAACTTTGTAAGCATTTGTTAGGAAAAACTACACAAGTAAAGGAACAGTACACAAGTAAAGGAACATTAGTTCAAGTACCCACACCAGCCACTGTTCTTAACACTTTGTGCTTGAATTCATTTGCTCTTTTATAGTCGTGTGATGTAGGTACTGCTGTTAAGCCTATTTTATGGGTGAGAAAAACCAAGACCAAGAAAGGCTCCTTTGCCTGGGATTACAGAGCTAGGAAATGATAAGAACCAGCATGGGAACTCCATCCTGTTCGTAGCTGCCACACCACAGGGCCACAGTTGGGAATCTAGAACTTCAGCTCGGTGGTAGCAGGGAGCCACAGAGGTAGACTGTGGTTCCGATGAATGAGGCTGGCACTTGGGTGCCTCTGGGCTTGTGATTGTGGAACTCCTCTGGTCAAACGGTGACCCATTTTTTATCCCTACCTCCAGACACCTACAGGAATGCAGAACTGGACCCGGTTGCAACAGAAGAGCAGGTTCTGGATGTCAAGGGGTGCCTCTCCAGAGTGAGGGGCATCAGCGAGGTGCTGGCCCGGCGTCACATGAAAGTGGCTTTTTTTGGCCGGTGAGTCCTTGACGCCCTCATGCTTCTTTCTTGCTGGCTGGGAGAGAGGAAGGGAGCACAGGGAGGGAGCCCTCTGTGGGTGGATGGGAAGGTCCTTATACATGGTCAGTGAGAATGCAAATTGGTCTACCCACTATGAGAATCAGTATGGAGGAAACACTAGAGCTAGCACTACCATTTGATCCAGCTGTATCACTGCTGGGCACACATCCAAAGGAATCAAAGCCAGCGTACAATAGAGATACCTACACACCTGCACTTACAGCAGCGCTATTCACAATAACCAACCTATGGGATCAGCCATAGGTTTTCTTTGACCACCAGTGAATGAGTGGGCAAAGAAAAGGTGGCATTTATACACAGTGGAGTATTACTCAACCATAAAGAATGAAATTGTGTTCTTTGCAAGAAGATGAATAGAACTAGAGATTATCACATTAAGAGAAATAAGCTAGACTGAGAAAGGATGAATAATGCATGCTTTCTCTCACATATGGAATCTAGATTTAAAAAAAGATGCTGGGTGTGGTGATACATATCTGTAATCCCAGCACTCAAGAGACGGAGGCAGGAGGATTTAGAGTTCAAGGCCAGCCTGGGCTACATAGAAAAAGAAAGCCCAAAAAAACAAACAAAAGACACAAGTAGGAGGGATCTATTTAGGAAGAGGACTGGACCAGTGAGAGGAGACAAGAGAGGGTAATAGGACAGTGAATATGATCAAAGTACATTATAGTTATATATAGAATGTCATAATGAAATCCACTGTTTTGAACAATTAATACGCACTAATAAAAAAAAGAATTTGAGTACTTTAGATACCTTGGATAAGTAGAATCATGTAGTATTTGTCTTTTTTGTGACTGGCTCATCTCAGTGTGCTGTCCTCAGAGTTCATCCATGTTGTAGTATATGTCAGAATTTACTCTGTTTTTAAGGTTGAATAATATTCGCTTGTGCGTACTTACCACATTTTGTTTACCTCCTGTTCATCCATCCATGGACACTTAGGTTTTTTCCACTCTTTGTTTGGCCATAACGAATGGTACTGCTATGTGCATCGGTGTCTAGGTATACCTTGTAGTCCCTGCCTCCAGATCTTTTGGGTATGTACACAAAAGTGGAATTGCTGGGTCTTCTGGGTCATGTGATAATTCTGTTCTTAAGTTTTTTTCCCCCCGCACTTGAAAAGCAGGCTCTCTACCAGTTGAGCCACACCTCCAGTCTATTTTGCTCTGGTTATTTTGGAGATGGGGTCTCACGAACTGTTTATCTGGGCTGTTCTCAAACCATGATCCTTTTGCTCTTAGCCTCTCATGTAGCTAGGAGTACAGGGAAGACCCACTGGCACTCAGCCTGTTATTAGTTTTTTGAGGAAATTAAGGAACCATTATGTGGTGTTCCATAGCAGCTGCAGTACTGCACACTGCCACCAGGAGTGCACAGGGGTTCAGTTTCTTCACATCCTTTCCATATTTACTGTTTTCTGTGTTTTGACTGTGGCCATGATACTGGGTGAAGTGATATCCCATTGGAGGTTTTTTTCCCTTTCCTCTTTTTTTTTTTTTTTTTTGAGATGTGTTCTCACCTGGCCTTCAACCCCTGGGCTCAAATGGTTCTCACACCGCATCCTCTCCATGCTGGGAACACAGGCACCAGGAGTTGAACAGCAGGGTTCTTCTTGATCACACAATGCAGAGAATTTCCTAGGGTATGGTCCCTGTGATAATGCCACACAGTGTCTGTTCCAGCTGCCCGAGCCATTTCCATGGCTGCCTTCCTCTCTCCGTTAGCCATTGAGGTCTTTAGTCCAGATATCCCTCCAGCTCCTGGTTCTCTTCATCAGAGGGCAGTTCCTGGGATCCTCAGGGGGTTCTGTTCGAAAGGAGGCTCTGCCCCCATCCTGAGAGCAGGTGAAGGCCCATTGTGGTCCCTTGGCATTTCCCTGATGACAGCCATGCTGAGCCTCCGGTGCACACTGCCTTCTTTGAAGAAATGTCTATTCAAGTTCTTTGCCCTGTGTTAACTGGGTTGGTTTTTTGTTGTTGAGTTGTAGTTTTTAAATATATTCTGTATGTTTATAGTATTTCCTTCCATTCCATAGGTTTCCTTTTCACTCTGTTGAGTCTGTCTTTTGGTGCAGTTTCTTATTTCGATGCCTGTTTATACACTTTTCCTTGTACTTTTAGTGTATAGGCAATACTCGCCAGATTTAGTGCCATGAAACTTCCCTGTTTTCTTCTAATGGTTTCAGAGTTTTACCCGACTCTCCTTTTTAGTGCACTGTGTGGTCTAGTGGGCACTTTATTTATTTATTTTTTATTTTTATTTTTTTTTGTGGTACTGGGATTTGAACTCCGGGCCTACACCTTGAGCACGGCATGCATCACCATGCTAGGCTGTAGCAGACACTTAAAAAGAAATTATACTGGGTGCCGGTGGCTCATGCCTGTAATCCTAGCTACCCAGGAGACAGAGATCAGGAAGGTCACGGCTCAAAGCCAGTCCGAGGCAAATAGTTCATGAGATCCTATCTCGGAAAAATTCAATACAAAACAGGACTGGCAGAGTGCCTGCCTCACAAGCCTAGCAAATGTGAGGCCTTGAGTTCAAGCCCCGGTGCTGGGAAAAGAAAAATTAAAATCCAGCCAGGTCTGATGGTTTACACTGGTAATCCCAGAATTTGGGAATGCAGAAGCAGAAGGATCACGAATTCAAGCCTGCCTGGGCTATACAGCAAAACCTTGTCTCAAAAGAAAAAAAAATAACGTACAGGAACAAAGACTTCTAGATAAGTTGTATGCTGGGCACATGGTAGTAGCCTGGACAGTAGGCACTGTGCCTCAGCTCCTGTCCCTGATGTCTTGTGACCTCAGGTGTGGCTCTTAGCAACCCTGGCTTGTCATTTCTTCATCCTCACGCTGGTGTAGCTCTTGCCTGGGTGAGCTATTGGCTGCCTGTCTCACTGGACATTAGGGAAGGCCTGTGACTAGGAAGCCATCACTCTGAATGAGGGTGAGTATTTAGCACAGGTGGAAAGCTCTAAAACCCAGAGTGAACAAGTGCTGAGTCAAGCTGTTGTCAAGATGCAGAATGTAGAAAGGGCTGTGGTAAGAAGAATGCTGAAAGGAATCTTCTCTTTGCCTGGCACTGTGGTCCTGACAGGTAAGGCCTCATGAGTGAAGAGGAACGTGGGGCGGGGTGGGGAAGAGTAGCCCAGCAGGCCAGTGTAGACAAGGACATAGGGTCATTTCACTGAGGATGTTATGCAGGAACACAGCCTTGGGGCAGAATCTGTGGTTCAGGGAGAGAAGAGGGTTATACTTGGGAGGCAGGTACTGAGATGCTTACTGAGAGGTGGTTACCACACTGCACAAACACCTTGTAAATTTGTCTGAAGTGATGAACTGGGACCCATCACAGGTACACACTGAGGGACTTTGCCTTACCATTTTAATAAACATGGAGCCTTCCTCTTGTTGCCATCTAGCCACTGGTGACATTGCAGAGAACAGCACTGTGGTCAGGCTGGTCACTATGTCATGAAAGCCCAAACCGTAGCTTGGCTGACAGCTGTTATTTCCTTGTAGGACGAGCAATGGGAAGAGCACTGTGATCAACGCCATGCTCTGGGACAAAGTTCTGCCCTCCGGGATCGGCCACACCACCAATTGCTTCCTGCGGGTGGGAGGCACAGATGGTCATGAGGCCTTCCTCCTTACTGAGGGCTCAGAGGAGAAAAGGAGCATCAAGGTGGGTGCCCAGGACCAGTGCTGAGCAGAGTCTGGGCTAGGGCCAACTAGATGTCCATGTGACAGGATTGACCCCACTTCTAAGGAGACGGTGATACCTCCCTTATGTGGAAGATAGGAAACCTTCCACATAAGGTTTCTGACCAGCTCTTTTGAGGATGTGAGTGCTTTTGGGGGCGGGGGGATCAGAAAGGTGGAGCACCAAGAACTTGTTGAGGCAGAGCAGATGGTTAACTCTGCATTGTGTAGAGAAGGGAGCGCACACTGGTCTTCCTTGGGATGCCTCCAGGGAGCGGTTCTCTCTGGAATTCTGCCACACCAGCAAAGGGCTGACATGCTTTCATTTTAGTGAGAGGCAGCCACATTCTAGCTTGGGATCACATACTCATTTTGGTTCACAAAGAATTAGTCAGGCTTGGCAGCATGGCTCAAGTGGTAGAGCACCTGCCTAGCAAGTACAAGACCTGGGTTCAAACCCAGTACCGCCCCAAAAAATAATAATCAATGCAGAACAGATTTTGCTTCAGTGTGACATCCAAGAAAGAGGCTTAAATGGGGAATGGAAAAAGTTGGTACTGACAACTTCTAGTTGAAGTGAAAGGAAAGGGTAACCAGTTGGGCAGCCACTCCCGGCTACTGTGCCAAGGCAGTTAGCTGTTCCTCAGCCTGATCTCTTTCCCCCTACCATCAGACTGTGAACCAGCTGGCCCATGCCCTCCACCAGGACGAGCAGCTGCATGCCGGCAGCCTGGTGAGTGTAATGTGGCCCAACTCTAAGTGCCCTCTTCTGAAGGATGACCTCGTGCTGATGGACAGGTAAGGGGGAAGGGGCCTTCCTAGTAGGTCCAGTTTGGGGGGCATCAGCTTTCCATTTCTGGATGATTCAGGCTGATTCCCCTGGGCCCTGTCTTTGCTCAAGCATTACTGCCTTTCAGATGGCTCAACCGAATCCTCCTGCCTCTTGGATTTCCTCCAGTGTCTGGTTATCATAACCACAGTCATCTGTCTGAGCCCTGCACATTTCCCAAGAGTGGGCTGTTTGAGAGATAGGAGGGTGCTCAGAGTAGGAGAGGCTGTCATTCCCAGCCCAGAGCCAGTGTGTATGTTGCAGTGGTAGAGAGGATTGTGGGGTGTTTTATTCCTCTGTGTGTGTAGGGAGGGAGGTGTGGTGCTGGGGATTGATGCCAGTGTCTTATACTTCCTGGCAAGAGTTCTACCACTTGAATCTCGTCTCCAGCTCTTTCATTTGTATTTGTTTTTTGAGATAGGGTCATGCTAACTTGGGTGGGTTAGCTTTGAACCACTATCCTCTTGCCTCTGCCTCCCGAGTAGTTGGTATTACAGGTGTGTGCCACCATGCCTGACTATTTTATTCCTCTTGAAACACTTTGCCCTGACTTTGTGGACACATTACAACTATACAAAGAAATACAGCACTGCCCATTCCGGTGGCCCACCCTGTAATTCTGGCTAAGGAGGCAGAGATCAGGAGGATTGTGGTCTGAAGCCAGCCCTGGGCAAATAGTTCATGAGACCTTATCTTGAAAAAACTCATCACAAAAAAAGGGCTAGTGGGATGGCTCAAGTGGTAAGAACGCCTGCATGGAAAGTGTGAGGCCCTAAGTTCAAATCCCAGTGCTGCCAAAAGAGAAAAGAAATACAGCACTGTAGCATTTACCTGGACTCACTTAAATACAAAACTTTCACTTTAATTGTATATTCATAAAGAAAAATTACAAGTCATTACATTTTTATAAAAGTGATAGAAATAGGTGCTAAAAACCACAGTTCCAGATAATCTGAAAGGATAGGAAATGGGAAATAAAAATCCCCTAACACGGGCCAGGCCTGATTCCCTCCTTTCCTGGCTTTCTCCTCCCTTACCTGGCTGCCTCACAAGTTCCTGTGCACAACAGAAAGACTAGAGCTTGTCTTTGTGCCTGACCATGTTGACTTACCCGTTATCTCTAGCCCTGGAATTGATGTAACCACTGAGCTGGACAGCTGGATTGACAAGTTTTGCCTGGATGCTGATGTGTTTGTGCTGGTGGCTAACTCAGAGTCAACGCTGATGCAGACGGTAACACTCCTCTGCATCTGCCCAGTCCCAGTGGGGCAGGTGGTTGGCGGGGCCTCGGCTGGCTCAGCCGATCCTCCACTGAGGCCTTGTCCCTTGTCTAGGAGAAGCAGTTCTTTCACAAGGTGAGTGAGCGTCTCTCCCGCCCAAACATCTTCATCCTGAACAACCGCTGGGATGCGTCTGCCTCGGAGCCTGAGTACATGGAGGAGGTAGGTGCCTGCCGCCATTTGACAGTTTGGGGACTGTCATCCCTCAGGAGCACTGCATAGGCAGCATCAGATCTGGTGGCTTCTCTGAATTAATGTTATCTCCAAAAATCATTCAGGAGTTCCCCACAGTGTCTTTTGGTAGTGTTAGTGGCTCCCTTCCCCTCTCCCACTGACTCTGCTTTCCTTCAGTTTCTCTACTATCTTATGTGTTTTTAGAGCCAGTGATCACTTTGGGTCATAGAAAATTAACACATACAGAACAGGTTTAGCTTTAGGAAGACGTTCAGGAAAGACGCTTAAAAGAAGAAGAGCAGAATAATTGTTGTTTTTTTTTTTTTTAACTGGGCCTGGGGTTTGAAGCAGGTGCTCTAATGCTTGAGCCACATCTCCAGAGCATTTTGCTCTGATTATTTTGGAGATGGGGTGTTGTGAATTATTTGCCTGGGCTGGCCTCAAACTGTGATCCTCCTGATTTCAGCCTCTCAAGTAGCTAGGATTATAGGTGTGAACCGCCAGCATTCACAACTCTTAACTATGTGTGTGAAATGAAAGAAAACGGGGTAATAGACTGGTAGTATTGGATTATTTATCAAGTGTGCAAGTCAGCATGCCAGACTTCAAATTCGGGCTGATGGGGGGGGGCCCTTGCCATAAGGGACCTTTGGCAAATTCTTTAAACCCAAAAAAAACAACAAAAAAAATAAAAAGAACAGCCAAATCTGAGTAAATTCAGTCTCCTTCACTGCTGAGTGTTTTTTTTGTGTTTGCTGTTTGTTGTCTCTTTGATGCTTTTGTGTGTTTTGTTTGTTACTTTTGTGTGTTGATTTTGTTTTTTGTTTTTGTGTGGTGTTTGTGTTGTTGTGTTTTGTTGTTGTTTTTATTGTTGTCTTGTGTGTTGTTTTGTTTTTTCTTTTGCTTGTGATAAATGAGACTTGCTGTCAGGTCCGTTAAAAGCACCTGACACATGCTGGATGTCTACAGGAGACAGCTAGCTTTTTAAGTTCTAACAGTAAAGCGTAGGACATTGGGGTTGGGAAGGATTTTCTAGCTGGGCTCATGCATTTTAAACAATAAGGCCCTGGGAGACTTGTCAGGTTTAGGCTTCATGATACCCCCAATTCCTTTCCTTCTGGGGCACCAAAGTGGAGCATTAGAAGACTGTACAAGAGGCAGTTTGGGGCCTGTTAAGCATTTCTGCTTGCATGAGCTTAAAATACCTTCGGCAGTCTTTACCCCAAGGAAGTCCCAGGGTATTGGTTCTGGTCAGAGAGCAGAGTGGTGAATGGCCTTTCACCATGCTTATCCTTTTGAATATTGAAACCATGTGAATATATTGCCCGTTAAAAGAAAAAGACAGTGGGGAGCTCCCCAGACACACCCTAGTCATATGTACCTATCTGTCTGGGCTCCAGGTGCGGCGGCAGCACATGGAGCGCTGCACTAGCTTCCTGGTGGACGAGCTGGGTGTGGTGGACCGAGCCCAGGCTGGGGACCGCATCTTCTTTGTATCTGCCAAGGAGGTGCTCAATGCCAGGATCCAGAAAGCCCAGGGCATGCCGGAAGGAGGTAACCATGGGAGCAGATGGCCACCTTTTCCTTGGCTGGGTCTTGTGCTGAGTCAGTCAATGGAAATTGTGAAAAGAGTGAGAGGTCCTTGCTCTGTAGGCATTGTCAGCCTGACTCCTGGGGATTTCCCTATTTTTCTCTCCTGCCAGGCTATTTCCTGGTCTAATTCAATGCAATTCTCCTAGGGGGTGCTCTTGCAGAAGGCTTTCAAGTGAGGATGTTTGAGTTTCAAAATTTCGAGAGGAGATTTGAGGTAAGTTTTTTTTTTTGGCGGTACTGGGGTTTGAACTCAGAGCTTTGCACTTGCTAGGCAGGTGCTCTACTGTTTGATCACACCTCCAGCCCTTGAGGTAAGTCTTTGATTTGGGCATGTGGTGATTCTGTGCCTCCTGAGCTCTCACTGGCCATGTCCCTTGCAGTGAAATCCAGAGCCCAGCTCTTGGTGGTAGGCCTCTGATAGCCTCCACCTCCTTCTACACCTCTGTCTAATCCAGGAATGCATCTCCCAGTCTGCAGTGAAGACCAAATTTGAGCAGCACACGGTTAGGGCCAAGCAGATTGCAGAGGCTGTTCGTTTCATCATGGACTCCCTGCACATCGCGGCTCAGGAGCAGCGGTAAGTGCCCAAGATGGAGACAGGTGGAGGGAGGTGCTGGGAAATGATGGTGCACCATTCTCCCTCAGGCAGCTAGGACATGCCTGTGCTCAGACCCTTAATGGCAGGCTGAGTATCTGGGGTCCCACAAGACCATGTTAAAGGCATGTAGACATCCACTGGATACCTGATCACCCCAACTGGCCTGGGCAATGCAGTGCCCTGTTGAGTACTGCAGCCGTTCTAGAGCCTCAACAACATTTTCATTGTTGCTGTTGCTTTTTTTTTTTTGACTTTTGAGGGAGGGTATTGCTAAGTGGCCGAAGCTGGCCTCAAATTTGGGATCCTTCTGCTTCAGCCTCCTGAGTGCTGGAATTATAGGCATGTACCACTATGCCTGGCTTGAACACATTTTTAAAACATTTTGTATGAAAAATTTAAAATGTAGAAAAGCACTTTTACACAGAACAAAGTGTTTGCTTTATATTAAGTTAAAATAAAACAGAAAAAGATGTACATACCCTTTGATTCTTTGACCTCGCCTGCCCCTCAGAGACACTGGGATTGTGAGTTTGTGTAGTCCTATTACTATTTAAGCAGTGCTTTTCCTGTACATCCTGAAGAGTGTGCACACGCTCCCTGTGTGTGTCTCTGCACTTTGCTTTTCTTCCTACTCAGTATTGTTTCACTCTTTGCTCTTATTGGTACACGTTTGAGTTCATTAATATTAACTTTTGCACAATCTCCCTTGTGAACATGTCTTATTTTCCTATTGGGGTCTCTTTATAATTTGCTTTTCTTTTACTTTTTTTTTTTTTTTTTTGTGGGGGTGGGTGGGCATTATCAGGGTTTGAACTTTGCACTTGCCAGGTAGGCGCTCTACAGCTTAAGCCACACCTCTAACCCCTACACTGTGCTTTTCTTGTGCAGTTGCAAACCCCACCACAGTGGACATCTGCTTGTGTTCCCTTGTGCACCTCCATAAGTCTTTCTAGGTCTGTTTCCTAGAGGTACAACTGCTCTGCCTTAGGGGAGGTGCATTTTCGGTTTTACTCAACTTGACTTCGTGTCTCTCCAGAGCAGCCGTACCCCACATCACCCCCCAGCACTGCCTGTAGGAACTCTCATTTCTGCAGCTCTCACCACAGCTGCAGGGGGCACATTTTTCCCAGGCATCTATGTAGACAGGAGTCCTCTTTTTAATTTCATATCCCTGGTCAATGGGAGGTTGAGCATCTTTCTCCCATAGTAGTTGGCAGACTTTATCTGACTCCCTTTAGTGCCTTCCCCTCTGTTACTACCTCATCTTTCTCCTGGGAAGAGGAAGGTGGTTCTTGGGGTTTACATGTCGGGCAGGATAAGAGTGGGTCAAAAGGCTCCCTGGCAACCCCCTTTGTTTTTCTACTTAGTTGGGGGAACCCAGGCCTTCTGACCAGTACTTTTTACTCTCAGGGTTTACTGCCTGGACATGCGTGAAGAGCGGCAAGATCGGCTGAGATTTATTGACAAACAGCTGGAGCTTTTGGCTCAAGATTATAAACTGCGAATTAAGCAGATTACGGAGGAAGTGGAAAGGCAGGTGAGAAATGAGGAGGAGGTACTGTGGGGAGATTCAGGCTCAGAATCAAGTTCAAAGTGGAAAAGTGACAAGTCAGAGCTCTCATCTTAGGGGCCTTCTCAGCTTTCCAGGAGGAAGTTGTGGCCCTGATTCAAGAATATAGATCTCCCCTGGTTTCCATTATCCTGTTGTGTGGCCCTGGGCAAGTACTCATCCTCTGGGCCTCCTATATGGGTCAGCAGAGTGTTTTGATTGCCAGTTTCTCAGGTCCTTCCACAGACTTGATTCTATAGATTCTCTAGATGAGCAGAGGAGACTCCTGTGTGAGGAAGAGACACAGTCTTCTTGTGCCTGCGGGACTGAACCACATTCTTCTTGATTCTTAGCAGTGCTTCCCTTGGCACAGGTGTCTACTGCGATGGCCGAAGAGATCAGGCGCCTCTCTGTGCTGGTTGATGAGTACCAGATGGACTTCCACCCCTCTCCAGTAGTCCTCAAGGTTTATAAGAATGTGAGTCACAAAGCAGTGAGTGCTCCTGGCAGGTCCCCTTGCTTCTCTTAGTTATTAGGTAGAGTTGCCATGAGACAGCAATTCAGTCCTGGCCCATTTGTGCCAGTGCCTCTTAGCAGTGGAAGTGGAAGCCAGGGTCTCATGTCCCTGGTCAGCCTTCTTTCACTGCCTGCTGGGTCTGGCTGGCCAGCCTCAGATCTCATCCTTGGGCTCAGTAGAAGGAACTCTGGATGCTCAGATCTCATCCTTGGGCTCAGTAGAAGGAACTCTGGATGGGGTTCTTCTTTTAACTTCCCTCTTCTGTTGCAGGAACTGCACCGCCACATAGAGGAAGGACTGGGCCGAAACATGTCCGACCGCTGCTCCACGACCATCACCAGCTCGCTGCAGACCATGCAGCAGGACATGATAGGTCAGTGCCACAGGGGAGCTTGGGGCCTGGGGCTACCCAGAGATCACCCAGAGGCTGACCTTAGAAATGGTGACTTTTCTAGATCTTGTCACCTTTGATGATGATTCAGTTCGATACCTGCAGGTTCCGGTGTGCCAGGAACTCATTTTATACAGAGACCTGGGGAATCCATTCTAGGGTGCCATACAGGACTACCACAGTGTTGGCAGGTTTGGATCCTTAGGCCGCATAGCCCTGGGGAGAACTGGCCAGCCTGCCACAGCAAGTCCATCACGTGGGCTCACTCATCACTCTGTGGTTTCTGGGCAGAATTGTTGCCCAGAATTGCTGCCTTCCTGGCAGCAGCTGGCATGACCATTGTTGCTAAAGTGTGGTATGAGTGTGGCACAGGCCTGGGCTGATGTGCTTCCTCCCCATTTGTATCCCTGACAGATGGCTTGAAGCCCCTCCTTCCTGTGTCTGTGCGGAATCAGATAGACATGTTGGTCCCTCGCCAGTGCTTCTCCCTCAGCTATGACCTGAACTGTGACAAGCTGTGTGCTGACTTTCAGGAGGACATCGAGTTCCATTTTTCTCTTGGATGGACTATGCTGGTGAATAGGTTCCTGGGTCCCAAGAACAGCCGTCGGGCTTTGATGGGCTATAATGACCAGGCAAGTTAAGTTCCTCACCTCAGGGTGTCGGGAGATCAGTCTGTTCCCTGCCACTAGACACGCACCTCTATCACATGGGTTCCCTAAGGCAGATGGCTGTGGCAGTGTGGCCCCCCCTGTGGTATTGTGCCAGTCAACATTGTTGTCACAGCTCAGGCTGGCCTTGTCCTAATTATAAATGCTACCCGATTTTTTTCTAATATAGTGAAAGTAAGTATGTAACTGTTAAAAATAGATGATTTTCGGGCTGGGAATATATAGCTCTGGTAGAGCACTTACCATGCACCTGGGTTTGATCTCCAGCACCATTAAAATACATGTATTTTAATGGAACAAGGGAGTACCAAAATTATTTTAACACTGTAATTTTTGATATCAAATAATAATTATAGAAATTCATGCATCACTAGAACTTGGAAATCTCAAAACACTTAAAAAAAAAACAAAAACAGAAGAAAGAAAGGAAAAAAACCGACTTTTTAAAAACATCATCTATATACCACCATCGTTTTAAAATTTAGATTTTAACCAGGCCTGAGTGTGTATTCCTGTAGTCCCAGCTACTCAAGAATTGGAGGCAGGATGATTGAAAATTTGAGACCAGCCTGGACAGAGTTATCCAGTTCTGATATCAAAACAAAATACAAAAGCCCGGGGGTGAGGTGAGGTGGTTTACGTCGTAGAGCACTTGCCTAGCATGCGGAGGATTCGGAATCCCCAATACCACAAAACTTTTTTTTAGATTTTGAAAGCATATGTTTCAAGCCATGTGAATTGCTGCTTTTGGTGCATGTCCCATGCTTTGGGAAACTGCTAACACACCAGAGTGTCTGTGGCACCCACAGGACCCTCCTTTGGGCAGGCAGGTCTGTTAGCATCGGAAGTTCTTCTCTGGTATGGGCGAAGTTCATTTTCCCCTTTTTGTCTCTAGAAGTTGAAATGTTGCTCCATGTCTCTGTTCCAGCTCCACTGCCCCTGTGGGTCACCAAGGGTCCACTTGAACAAGAAACTTGCCATACTCTTTTCACCCCTTCATTGTCTCTCTCCTCAGGTTCAGCGTCCTGTCCCTCTGACACCTGCCAACCCCAGCATGCCCCCCTTGCCACAGGGCTCGCTCACCCAGGAGGAGCTCATGGTTTCCATGGTTACAGGCCTGGCCTCTCTCACATCCAGGACATCGATGGGTATTCTCGTGGTTGGAGGAGTGGTCAGTGATAAGTCCTACTTGAGAAGGGGGGCAGGCTAGTGGGAGTCTGAGGGGCTCCATGCCGGAGGTGGGTCCTGCCCTAGTCTAGCACTTCACAATGTTTCTTCCCCATGGGACTGTGTGACATCAGCCCTGTAATACGCTCACTGTGCCCCTGAAGCACCACTCAACCACCAGGAAGTTTAGACAGCACTGTTCCCATTTCCCAGATGAGGAACATCCGTGGTGGCTTGCAGAAGACACATGATAGTATTTGGACCCTGTTCCCTCTGCTCTTTAGGCACACTCTTCGCTCTGTAGGGCCTGAACTCCACAGTGTGTAGGGAACAGATTTTGGCAGTCTGGGTTCTAGAGAAGTAAACTTGGAAAGAAAGCCTCATCGTTTGTAGTTGAGGAAACAGCAAAACTAAGAGAAAAAGGAGAGGTTGGGGTATAGCTCAAATGGTAGAACAACTGCCACCCCCCCTCCCCAAGTAAAAGAGGTTATGCCAGGCCTTGAACCCTTTCCTCCGCATCTTTTAGTTTTATGGCCCTTTCCACTCCGTGGCCTTGGTAGTAGGCTGTCCTCCAGATCACTTGGGACTCTTCATATCCTGAATGAATACTGCAGCCAGACTCTCTTAGTCTGAGATTTTCTTGATGAAGGCAAGTTCTCTCTCTTGTGGACATTTGACAGGTAGAGTGATAACAGACGGTGACTGTCATGAGCACTCCCGGAATTGCTTTCCAAACAGGTAGGACAGAGTGGGACAGCTGAGACCACCTGTCCCTAGACTACAGTTGGCATATGCTCTGCTCCTTTTTATCACACAGTGATGTAGCAGAGGGCCGTGAGCTGAGATGCCAAAACTTGACTGTGTCTTGTTTACCCAAACAACCCTGGAAATTGCCATAGACTGTGCTCCTCTTTTGTGAATGAGGAGGCTGGTATAAAGTGGCCTGAGGTCACACAGCCAGGATGTCAGGAGCACAAGAGCCTCATTGTCTGTCTCTGAGCCCCATGCTCAGCTACCAAGAAATGATGCAGACTTCTGCTTATCATCAGAGTGGACGTTGCTTCAGAACACATCGGCATTTGTCTTTGGGAATTCTGCTTAGCAGGGTTAGAATTGTAGCTCAGTGGGCAGCTAAGCATGCCCTGGGTTCCATTCCCAGCATCACAAAATAACAACAAAAAAACCCTACTTACCGCTAGATCAGGGCTCTACTGCTAGCACCCACACTTTGTGTGAGTCATGCCTTATGGCCAGCTCAGTTTCCCTCATTTCCGACTGGAAATGTTCCCTGCCCTCCTTTTCTCAGTGGGGTCAAAGGAGACATCGAAAGAGGAGTTCTTGGTGGAAACCCAAAGGCTTCTTGGCTGGGGCTCTTGGAGCAGTCCTGGGAGTGAAAGCCTAAGGGACGGGGTGGGGTCACAGAGAGGCTCTGCCCGGGCTGACCATGTTCCTCTGCAGGTGTGGAAGGCAGTTGGCTGGCGGCTAATTGCCCTCTCCTTTGGGCTGTATGGCCTCCTCTATGTCTACGAGCGTCTGACCTGGACCACCAAGGCTAAGGAGAGGGCCTTCAAGCGCCAGTTTGTAGAGTATGCCAGTGAGAAGCTTCAGCTCATCATCAGCTACACAGGCTCCAACTGCAGCCACCAAGTCCAGCAGTGAGTGACCCCTCCCTAGGTGGGGGCAACCTGGATCCCTCTCAGCCTGACCTGGGAACCACTGGGTCCTGGACCTCTGGTCCGTTGACTATGTAGTGCCAGCTCTGAGGCCAGGGTTGGCAATGGGGGTCACCTCTGTCCTGTGCTGGGACTAGGTCGGCCCCAGGACTCCTGAGGGGAAATAAGCAGGAAGATGAGGGACATGCCTAGTAGGAGGGACAGCCCTGAGGAGCCTGGGCTGTGGGTGCAGCTGTGAAGTCCTGGATTGCAGCCTAGTCATGGTGCCTCGTAAGTCAGGGAACCTATTGTTTGATCTGGTGTCAAACAATCCCTCTGTTTGAGGGATCTCTGTTGATGGCTGTGCCAGCGTCTCTCATTGCTCTGTGGCAAACTCTGCCAGCCATTTTGCACCAACATTTCCTTTACTTCTCTAGCCATTTGGACTAGATGTTTTATTAATCTCTTCTTTTTCGAGTGACGACGCTGAGACTTGGGAGACTAGCCTCTGGTGCCCAAGCTAGGGGTGCTGCTCTGTGCTGCTGCTCCTCATGATTGGGGTTAGGGTTCTTCATGGTTTCAGAAGGGGGTGTGACAGACCCTGCTGCTACCCTACTCTGGGTGGATTTGGCCACTGAGGCACCCTGCCTAAATGACCCCATGCTCAGTTGGTCCCACTTCTGTCTCTGTTAGGGAACTGTCTGGGACCTTTGCTCATCTATGCCAGCAAGTTGATGTCACCCGGGAGAACCTGGAGCAGGAAATTGCCGCCATGAACAAGAAAATTGAGATTCTTGATTCACTTCAGAGCAAAGCAAAATTGCTCAGGTGAGACTGGCCCAGGCGGCCAAGGCAGTAGGTCCCAGGGTGCAGCCCAAGTGTGATGGAGCTCTCCTGATTGAATGTGGACACACACCTTTCTGGTGGGGATTTAACTCACTTGCGTTACATGTTTGTAGGCCATATGGCGCTAGTGCTGGAGGTTCAACAAGATAGAGTGTCACTGCTCTCAAGGCACTTGCAGTTGGGGGCAAGTGGACATCTTAGGAAGTAAGCATGACAGTACTGTGACATTGCAGCTCGTGCACCTTCTTCCCGACAGCAGAGCCTCAGCATTTTACCTGTGCTGTCTCACTCAGTCTTCGCCAGCCCTGGAGAGGCACCTAGAGGGATGTGTCCTAGCCTCACTTTCCCAGTAGGAAAACTGGTGCCTGCGGTGGTTGAGTCCTTGTCTCAGCCCAATGGGAAATGTCCAGGCAGGTTATACACATGTTGGTTCTCCTCACACCGTGCTTAACCTACTACCCATGCCGCAGTTGTCTGAGGGCAGGAAGGGGCATAGTGCCATGTCCACTTACAGGGACAGGATGGGAACCAGGTCTCCAGGGCTTTCTGTTGAGACATGGAACATCTATTAGCAGTTTGCTGGGAAGAGCATCAGTTAGAGGAGCCAGAGACTGGGGTTTTGGTCCTGCACTCACTCAGCCTTCCTGTGGCTCCTTGTTTTCACCTGTGAAGTGAGTGGGACTAAGATTTCATGATAGCTACAGCTGCATGGAGAGTGCTCTCTTAAGTCCTCGGCCTGCCCAGCCCGTGATAACATCAGCACGTGGGTACCTGTACTTCCTGCCCCGCTTCTGATGTCAGAGGCCCACAGGGACAGAGCCAGAGGGGAGGTACTTTCAGGGGTTTCAGCTCCAGCCCCCATCAGATCTGTGGACTTTCCCTCCCTTGCCTGTGCAGATGTGCTCCTCCTGCTCACGACCCTGGAACAACTGTTTCCTAAGGATTCTGCTCACCCACTGGGGGCACTCAGATGGAGCACAGTGTCTGCCACAGGGACGGGGTTGGCCCTAGGAAGAGCTGTGAATCATTATCCTAGCCTCTCACTCACCAGGCAGGAAGGCTGGCCTCCTGTGGCTCAGAGCCTTGTCCCTGGGCTGTGGGGAAGCAGAGAAGATTCCATTGCCTTGTAACCTTGGTTGGCAAGTTGTTTTACCTCTCTGGGCCTCCTTTTCTTCATCTATCACATGGGGTCAAAAGTGCTATTGGAGGATTAAATGAGGGTACCTGTCACATGTCCTTAGAAGTGTGGGTGGCAGACAGTGCTGATACTACCTGTCCTTGACTGTCGACTGTACAAAATAACTGTGTCTTTGCAGGAATAAAGCTGGATGGTTGGACAGCGAACTCAACATGTTCACACACCAGTACCTGCAGCCCAGCAGATAATGGGCAGCTAGGGCGAGGCCTGCATGGAAAGGGGGTGAGGCTGCCCACGCTTGGCGCATGTGGGCCCCAGGGCACATGGCTCTGGTCCCTGGCCACCTGGGAGAGAATGAAAGCAACCACTCTCTCTTACCGTTTCGAGCCCTTCAGCATCAGTTACCCTGTCCCTGACCTGCTGTTGCAGGAAGACCCTCTGGCTCATACCCCAAAAGAGATTTTAACAACAGGAAGACAACATAGTACCAAGGAGTCGTGACAAAGCTCTTCTCTGCTTTATTAGTTTCACTCGATTGAAGATCGGGTCTGCTTGATAAGATTTCAGATGTCAGCCTTGCAAAGGACTGGTTGAAACCTTCACGGTATCAGGCACACACTCCCACCTTCTCCACCTGTGCGCATCTTCCCTCCTTATCCCCCAGCACAGCTGCAGAGAGAGGCCACATTGGGGGGGGTGACTGGATTTCCTTCCTAGAAGCATCTGAAATAGTTCCAGAAAGGCCAAAGCTGTCCCACAGGGACTTGTGGCTGGTGTTGCATGGTCCTCAGCTTCAGCACTTTGTCTCAATTGTGGAGTCTTTGGGCTGTGTCTTGGTGGCCAGGCTTGGCATCTTTGAACTGAGGCAGTCCATGCATGAGGGGGTGGGACTGCTCAGCGTCAGCCAGATTAGTGGGAGGAGCTCAGGAGAGGGGTGTGTGGATTGGGGTGTCAGAGCAGGTGGTGCTGTCAGAGTGGGGGGCTGTCACCATGATGAGGAAGGACTTGCCTGCATCTTGCCACTGCGTCCCTTGTAGTTTCAGTCTTTGGCCTGCATAGTCCTGGATTATTGTTGGTAAGAGCTGCTTTGGTTCAGGTGGTTAAAGGATGTAGAAGGAAGGATGGCAGAAGGTGGGAGTCTTGACATCAGACTGGGGGAGGGAGCCCCACCCAAGATGGCTAGAGAATGTAGTTGGTACAGAAGAGACCCTCCATTTGGCCTTGTTCTAGGGGTTTGTGGGCCTGAGAGCCCCCACCCCTCCAGTTGATTGCATCCTCTGCCTTGCCTCAAGCTACCCTTAGTCACCAGTTTTCTGTACTGTTCTCTGTACCAGTGACTGCACTTGACTACCAGAGAGCTTGGGAAACCCAACACCCATTCTCCCACCCTCCCTGGCTCCCAGAGCCTCCCCTGACACAATTGGGCTGATGTTGACTTTGAGAAATGTTTCCTGTTGTTGAGTTTGGGGATTGCTGCTGGTCAAAGTGGGGAAAGTTGCTGTCACCAAAGTGTTCACTGTGGGAAAAGCAGCGTCTGGTTGACAAAGCCTTTGTAGAACAGGTCAGAGAGCATTCTAGAGACAGTGATTCTTTTCAGAAAGAGGCCCATGGGCAGGGGCTCAGCAGAGGGAGAGTTTAGCCAACTGTTCCATGTCTGGGGGAAGCAAAGTGGGGGAGGGGGGATCACATGGGCACTGTCTTCACTGCATATTTGCTTGTCCTTCAGACCTTCATTCTACCCTGTTGTATGAGACAGTGATAGACTTGGCCAAGGTCACCATGTAGTGGAAGGATGTTTGAGCAGATTGCCGGCTCTGGATGGATGGGGGTCACCTCACAGCGTGTCAGGAAAAATCAATGTCACACAATCCCAATGAATTTTTATGTTCTTTTTGAAACAAAAAATTATTTAGGAACAAAAATGAATTTTTTTTTCAGTGTAGCCCCTGGGGAATGAATGAAATTTTGAGCTTCTTTATATAAGGAAAATTAAGTTTGTACCACCACCATGGGAGAAAAAGAAGTGTGGCTCAAAGCACTTTCATTTAATGCTGCTGACTTTTCTGTTTTCTGTTCATTTGCTGGAGCGCAGACATGCTTGACAGTGAGTTTTCCTCCGATGTATTTAAGGTGATGTACGCCTAAACTACTCCTGTATCATTGCTGATAATATTGGAAACTAAAATAAAACCCAGTTGGAACCCTGTGTGAGATCTCCACCCAGCAGCTGCCCCACTGAGAACGAATGGTGTAACCGACCTCCAAGGGCCAGGAAATGTAGAGTGACTCCTTCACAGATTTCTCTGTAACTCCAAACCGTTCATCTCTCACTTAAAAAGTAAATGACTCACAGGTCTGCCCCACTTTGCCTTCTGAGAATCTGGCTGTGAACGCTTCTCTCTCTCTCTCTCCCGCCTCTCTCTCTCTCTCCCCTCTTCCCTCTCCTCTCTTCTCTCTCCCGCCTCTCTCTCTCCCCTCTTTCCTCTCTTCTCTTTTCTTTTTCTTTCTCTCTCTCTTTCCTTTTCTTCTCCCCCACCCAGGAGTGGGTAAGGGTATGACTGGTGGGCTGCCCTGCCCCTCCACACTCCCCCTCTTAATGAGCAGCACCCCTGCCTCTGTCACTTGTCCATTTCAGAGGCTCCCAGTCAGTGACTGTAGTCTCATCCTTCCAGGCTTCCAGGCCACAGCTGTGGGGTGTCCTCCTCGAGTCCCCATCATATGTGTTTCATTTCTTATGTTGCTTTCTGTCTTCCTAGACCCTGACCTTTCCCCACCTCCATCACACCACCCTGGGCTGACTCCTGCTCTCCCCTGCCTTCTGTAACTTTAAAGGCAGCAGCTAGGGTGACCTTTACAGCTAGAGCTCAGCTCATGTACCCTCTGCCCCAAGCACTGCTGTGACCCCCAAGTTCCCCTGGAGGCTGCCCAGGGTCCCAGCCTAAGGTGTGCAGTGGCTCTTACATTGGCCCTCACTCCCCACTTTGCTGTTCATCCACCCTGGTTCCTTGCCGTTCCTTGGCATTGCTCAGCACACTCTCTGCATAGGTCCTTTGCCCTGGCTGACCTGCTGCTTGGCTTCCCAGCTGACTCACTCTTCTGTCTCCAGCTGACCTCAGCAATGGAGCTATGCATGTGTTCCAGTTAGCACCTGACACAAGCCAGCATATTCGGTTGTCTCCCCTGCTAGAACACGCTACATAGGAGGCATGTGGGAGGATCACTGTCCAAGGCCAGCCCCAGGCAAAAGCTTGAGACCCTATCTCAAAAATAATCAGAGCAAAAAGGGCTGGATGCGTGGCTCAAGTAGTAGAGCACCTGCTTAGCAAATGCAAGGTCCTGAGTTCAAACCCCAGTACTGCCAAAACACCACCACCAACAACAAAAACAGATGGATGATCCTAATCCTGACAGCACAGGCCATGCACTTATCAGCCCTCTAGCATTGAGGGACAGATCTTAAATGCTACTGTACTGTGTAGTCAGCCTTTAGCACATTCGGCTCCACTGTGGAATCAGGCTCAGAGAAATAAGACTAGCTCAGATACGAGCAGGGGGGTTGCTGATAATAATGCAGCCTGCCTTTAAGCTCAAATCTTAGTTTCCCAAAGCCCAGGGGCTTTCAGACTTTTCACCCTCACCCACAATTATGAATACGTTATGATCTAATACAGATATGTGTATAAGGGACACAAAATAACATTACCCTTGCAATACAGCAAGTAGTTGCTGTCCTTAGCAAGGTGCTGTTTTAAGAACCCAAAGGTTCTTGGGTTCCTGGCCATGGTTTGAAAGCAGGTGTTTGTGCCGTGTTGCCTCCTGCAACATGCTTTGTTAATTATTCCTGGTCAAGGCCAGACCCATTCCTGTGGTTTCTCAGGCTAACTCATCTGCTCACTGGAAGTTCTGGGGAATCTGAGATGCTGGGAATTTTAGCTCTCCAGTGACTGCCCCCGTTTAATTACAAATCACAAATACTATGTACCATCTGTTCCAAGTGCTGGGGAGATGGCTCAGGCAGCTGTCTGGGGCAGCATCTGGCTCTGCAGGGTTCTGCCTGAGCAGGCCCTTCTTGCAGATGTTAGCTGAGTTCACTCTATCCTTAAGGCCATGGATCCCGGTCTCTGAGTTATTCTCTTAGGCTTGAGATAAGATCAACGAACTTATACTGAGTGCTTGGCCTATGCCACTGCTCTATCCCCCACTTGGAGAAAGGAAGAAGTTCATTAATTCAGCAGCATATTTGAGTGCCTGCTGTCAGGCTTGGCTCTCGGTATTGGAGATACAAATGTGAATAAGTACATGAAAGTCCCTGCCTTTATGGAGCTTGTCGGCTACAGGGTGGGGGGTGGGGGCAGGGGAGACAGTCAACAGGCAAAATTGTGTAAAAGACAGTAGGTGAGAAGATAAGGGTTATGAAGGAAAGCATGGGAGGGTGTGAAAATAGTGTGGCTGGAGTAGTCCTCACCGAAAAGCTGACATCAGAAGAAACTTAAGGCCATGGGGAATGGAGTCGTGGACAACCTGGGCAGGGCCTTCCGGCAGAAGGAACAGTACGTGCAAAGGCCGTGAGGAGAAGGCCCTCTGTCTGAGAGGAGCATTGAATAGTCAGAGTGGAGGGAGGGAGGGGAAAGAGGAGTGTAAACAGGTGTGAAAAGGAACTAGTGGCAGCTTGGGTCCTGCAGTCACTGCACTGTCAGGGCAGGTGCCATTGGAGAGTTTTGAGCAGAGATGTGCTGTGAGCTGGCTTACATCTTAGTGGGACTATGGGCTGCCATGTGGAAATAGCCAACAGACAGGATGGAAGGAAAGAGGCCAGCCAAGAGGTGACAGCAACATGCCAGGCAGCGTGAAATGGCGCCTTGGACCAGGGCAGTCATGATGGAAGTATGAAGAGGGTCGGGGTCCAGGTACTTTCGAGACTCCACAGCCAGTGTTCATCTGCTCACCTCTTCATGGACATTGGGATTTACCATGGAGTCTATGAACATCTGTTTACAGGTTCTTCTACAATCCCCCCTTGGATAAATGCCTAGGAGTTAGAATGACTGGATCATACAGTGGATTATGTTTAACTTAAAAAAAAAAAAATTTAGCTGGGCGCCAGTGGCTCACGCCTGTAATCCTAGTGTTACGAGTCGAATGAGGCCCAACCACCCAAAAAGACTTAAAGGAGAGTCTTTATTTGCCAGCTGGCGACTGCTCTGACCAACAGGCCCTTAGAGCAGCCCCGTTCTGACTTTAATCAGGGTTTATAAAGGCAAAACCATGTCCTGTTTGACAACCATTGCGAAGCAAACTAGCCCAGGTACAGAAGCGAAACAATGGCTGCTAGTTGCCGTTGCGAAGGAGAAGTGAACACAACACAACCGTTTATCCACGTCCCGCTTTGGTTCCTTCTGTTTTCCTCGGCTCTTGGATTCTGATTGAGGTTGCATTGAGTCTCTAGATCCATTTGGAGAGAACTGACATCTTAAAAATATTGAGTGTTTCAGTCCATGAACATAGTATATTTCCCATTTATTTAAATCTTCTCTCAAGAATTTGAGAATTTAACTTAATGTATAGGTCTTTTGTCAGATTTTCCCCTAAATATTTCATTTTCATATTTATTAACGTTATGATAAATGTTGTTTTTAAAAATCTCAATTTCCTTTTTTTTTTGGAGATAGGGTTTTCCTAAGAAGCCCAGATTGGCCTCGAACTCACTACATAGCCCAGACTAGGCTCCAACTTTCAATCATCCTGCTTTAGCCACCCAAAAACTGGAATTACAGGCATTTACCACCACACATGGCTAAAACAACTTCTAATGGTTTGTTGACATGTAGAAATACAACCATTTCTGTATATTGATCTTGCATCATAAAATCTTCTGAAGCTCCTTAATTCTAGTCATCTTTTTATAGATTCTATGAGATTTTCTACTATGTTGTATGAAGATAAAGATAGCTTTTCTTCTTCCTTATCGCACTGGCAAAGACTATAATGCTGAAGTACTAAAAGCAGACATCCTTGCCTTGTCCTGACCTTGGGAAAGCATTCAGTTATTATGAAATACGCTGTTAAATGTAGGTGTTTTCATATATTTTATCAGAATTAGGATTTCTAGTCCTAGTTTGTTTAGATTAAAAAAAAAAAAATCAGGAATGGGGGCTGGAGATACAGCTCGTAGAAGAGCACTTGCCTAGCATGTGAGGCCCTGGGTTTGACTCCCAGCTCTTTAATAAAAAGATGCGTCAGATTTTGTCAAATGCGAGGACATCTCTTGAAAGTAAAAGGGACTGTCTTCCCACTTCCATCTGAGAGAGAGGGGCAGTATCTGGGAGGTGGTTTTCCTTTCCCTCTTTCATTTTGTCTGTTAATACAATGAATTACGTAGATTTTAAAATGTTTGGCAAGCCACTTCATCTCATAGGAGGGTTTTTGTTGCTGCGGTTCTGTAAAATGGGATAATAATCACCTTCACGCATATTTATGAGGTCAGAATACACTGACAGGGAAAAGACCTGGGGCCCAAATAAATAAATAAAATAAAATAAATAAAAGTGGTAAGCACTTCATAATTTTTTTTTCTGGGCGGCGTGGGGTTTGAACTCAGAGCCCCACACTTCCTAGACAGGCGTTCTACCGCCTGAGCCACTCCACCAAGCATATTATGTGTTGGGTATTTTCGAGAAAAGGTCTCTCGAACTATTTGCGGGACCTGACCTTGAACCGCGATCCTCCTGATCTTTGCCTCCAGATTACAGGCGTGAGCCACTGACGCCCGGCGGCACTCTATAAATCTGTTTATATCTTACAGACAGGATCATAGGTGTCTATAATCCCACTGCTTCCTCCCCGCTGCTGCAGTGCCTCCTACGGTGCTTCCAGCTACAAACTAGGCACCCCATTAAGACTTGAATGGAAGGAGCCAGCGGCCTCTTATCCAAGCCTAACCCGCCGCAACCCGCGGCCCGGGACAAAGAGAACTGCCTCGGCGCACGCGGTGTACATCGCTAACCAATCAGAGCCCGTTTCTCCCGGCTCCTCCCCATTCCGATGATCGAGCTAGTGTAGCTCGGTCTCAGAAGTTAGCCAATCAACTTGTAGGGCTCCCGTTAGCCCCGCCCCTAAGTTGAAACTGCCGCTTCGGGATGCGGAGTAACGCTCGCCTAGCGTCCCGGCCCCGCCCTACCATTAACCAATCAGAGAGGCCGGTGGAGGCGACGCCGGACCGGGGCGGTGCGGGTGGTATTTGTCTGCTGAACGGGTCTGGGGCTTCCGGGAGGTGAGTGTCGTGACGGCCGGGACTGGGGAGGGGGATGGAGGTGTGCGTGCCCACGGCTGGCTCTGGGGCTGCGATGGGACTTGAGGAGGCTGACTCCCCTTCCCGGGATCCCATCTCGGCGTCCTGTTACTTTTGCTGCCCTAGCGTCTCTTCTGAAGGTCGCCTTCCCGCTGCGTCTGCGCAGGATTTAGCTTTCCAGAGTGGGGCCGGGGCCGACTGTGCCCATTAACCCCGTGCAAAATCAGACTCTCTGACCATAGGAGTGTGGTCCAGCATTGCTGGGCCAGGTAAAGTTGGGCGGGGGTCCCTGTCTTGCCGTTTGCACCTCCACTGCCCGCACTCTGCGAGTAGGGTGCCTGCCTTCCCAGTCCCCAGATGAGGACTCAGTGTTAAAACCGAGTGGCGCTACTGCAGGAGACTTGAGGTTGGAGGAGCCTGAGTTGGGGCTATAGGGAGGTGGAAGCCCTTTCCCCAGCCTGCAGAAATCCCTTTCAGAGGTAAGTGTGTGCTTCTGAGTCTCACCCTCCTGGACCAAGGACTGGCAGCCGGAGGAGGCTTCCCAGGCTCCTCCCCACACTGCCAGGGAAAGCCTGTCCAGACCATGGATGCTTTGCTGTGACTTTTGCCTTGCTAACCTCTCCTAACTTTAGTTTCTTCGTGTGTGAAAAGAATGGGCTGGGAGGTGTAGCTTCGTGGAAGAATGCATGCTTAACATGCTGCAGGCCTGCAGGCCTTCGTCAATACCAGCACCAAAACAAAAAACAAAAGCAAGCAAACAAAAGCAAAGGGGGAAGGACTAGGGGAGGGTAAGGAGGCAGGGATCCGTTCAGAAGCCTCACTGTGTTGGATTCACAAGTTACACAGCTTCACATTTGCCAGCTTGCACTGGTAACTTTCTGCAGGTTAAAGGAGTCTGATTTTGCTGGGTTACACCTGTAATCCTAGTACTTGGGAGGCTGAGATAGGAAAGATCACGGTTTGAAGCCAGCCAGGGCAAATAGTTTGTGGGATCCTATCTCCAAAATAACCAGATCAAAATGGACTGGAGGAGTGGCTCAAGCTGTAGAGCACCTGCTTTGCAAGCATGAAACCCTGAGTTCAAACCTCAGTCCCACAAAAAAAAGACAAAAGAAAAAAACCAGTCTGATTTCATAGTCAGAGTCATTGAGGGGGAATGGTTTGTTTTGGCAGGAAAGGAAGCACACCCTGGCCCATTTAGTAGGAACAGATTTTTGGACTGGAGGAGTGGCTCATGTGGTAGAGCACCTGCTTTGCAATCATGAAGCCCTGAGTTCAAACCGCAGTTCCACCAAAAAAAACAAAACAAAACCCAATAATATGTCGAGTACTTGCAATGTAACTGGCACTGTGCTAAGAGTTTAATGTGACTTGCCTTGTTTAATCCTAAGGACAACCTGGCAACCTGGCAAGGTAGATACTGTTACTATGTTTGACAGATGAGGAAAGGAGGTGCAGAGTTTAAGTGACCTGCCTGAGGATGCACAGCTAAGGAGAATACTGGGGGATGTTGAACCCCAGCCTCTGGCATCAAGGCCCCCTCCCCAGCCTTTCTCATACCATCTTGACTTCAGGTGGAACCCCAGTCCTGAGCAGCTGTGGCTGAGGGGCCATCAACGTCACTGTGGGGAGCTGGAGGCTCCACCCAGGATGGGGGAGATGGAAGACCTTGTACAACTCCGGCTGCTCAATCTGGAGCTGCTGAGGCAGCTGTGGGCCGGGCAGAAGGCTGTGCGGCGCTCAGTGGCCAAGGCCACCTCGGGAACCCTGCAGGCAAGAAAGGAACTGCTTAGCCCTCGGGGTGGTGGCCAGGGTCATCTTGTCCAACCCACCCATTTTACTGTTGATGCAAAACTGAGGCCTTGGGAGGGAAGGGACTGGGCCAGGACACTGTTGAAGCCACAGCAGGCTCTGGCGCCTAGCATAGGCGGGGTAGGTGGGCACTGGCTGGGCCGCCCCTGGGGTGACCTGACCTGTCCTCTCCAGTCAAGCCTGTACTCCAGCAGCAGCTATGATTCAGAGACGCCGGTGTCCCCAGAGACTTCCTCAGCCTTCTCGGGAGCCTCCTGCTCACAGGATAAACGTCACGTGGGGGACTCACTGGATACCCCTCGAGGTATTCCCCATGATAGGATCAGCTCCAGGGTGGCTTCTCTCCCACCTGCCAAGTGCCAACACCCAGAGTCCCTGGAATCGTCAAGGCCCCGCTCAGCACCCTTGCCACCTACCACGGAGCCAGTGCCTTCAGCAGGGCTGGGCCATTTGAGGCCCCCCGAAACACAGGCTCCAAGGTCCATGCTGGCTGGACAGAGCAAACCATCCAAGGTAACATGGGAGAGCTGGCCTTCCACCAATGGGTTCCCTGCCTGACAGACTCGCTCCCAAGCAGACTTCCCTGTAAGAGAAGCTTTCAGAGGTGCTCTGAGACCTCTCAGATCATGAGTGATAGTGATGGCTGTTAGTTTTCAGACAGCACTTTGGGAAGATGCTGATGGGTCACATTATACTGACAGGAAGACTGAGGCTCAGAGCCCAGACTCATTCAAAGCCACCCACAAAGTGGGGCCAAACTTTTATCTTCTGGATAAAAGTTGCCAGCTAACTCTGGGGCCCAAGTTGGTATAAGTTAAGACTGCCTGCCTTCCCCCAAAGGTGGGGCCTCCTCTGGGCTGGGCCTGCTGTCCTAGCCCTTTTCCTCTTGGTCTCCCTCCTCAGACCAGAGTGACCTTCAGCCAGGAGTCGGCAGTGCCTGAGAGAAACTGGCGCCTCTGGCCATACCTGGGCTACGACTGGATTGCAGGTGAGGCCCGCCCAGAGCACACACCTGGCCTGGGAGCAGGAGGACAGGCCGTGGCTGGGAAAAACTAGCTGTGGGCCCAGGTGTGGTGGGCCTCTGTTGTATGAGTGAGCGAGTCAGGGCTGCTGTATTTTTTCTGCTGATCTCACAGGTGTGAGTGATCCACCAGTGCCTGGCTGGGTGGCCATATTTTTGAGGGGTTACTTGGTGCCCTCTATAACTCTGTGCCTGGACCATCTCTGCTTATTTTCCTACCCAGCCCTCTTCTCAGCAATCTCAGTGGCTTCATGGTTGTCCTTCCTGTGGCCTCTTCAGTCTCATTACTGCTCACTCTGTGTTGAAGTATATAGAACATATCATTTGCCATTCAGCCATTTTGAAGTGAGCAGTTCAGTGGCCTTGAGGACAGTCACATCGTCATGCTTGTTGCCATGGACCACCTCCAGCACCTTTCCATCTTAAACACCTGAAGGCCTAACTCCACCATGCCCCCCCCAGTCCCTCGCAGCCACCCTTCTTTCTGTCTCCATGAAGTCACTTTTCCAGGTACCTCAAATACGTAGAGTCACATCTTTTTGTGTGTGTGACTTGTTTTATTTAGCATATTGCCCCAAAGGTTCATCCACTTGTAGCCTGTGTTAGAATTCCCTTCTATGGACTGGAGGTGTGGCTCAGGTGGTAGAGCACCTGCTTTGCAAGTGTGAAGCCCTGAGTTCAAACCCCAGTCCCACCAAAAAAAAACAAAAACAAAAACCTTTCTTTTTTGAGGGGAGAGATAGCACTGGGGTTTGAACTGAGCCTTGGGCTTGCAGGAGCTCTGCCACTGGAGCCATGCCCCTAGCCCTTCTGATTTAAGTTTTTAGGTAGGGTCTCATGCTTTTTGCCCGGGGCCAACTACAGACCGATCCTCCCATCTCCACTGTCTGAGTAACAGGGATGACAGGTGTGCGTTACCGTGCCTGGCTAGAAGTCCCTTTCTTTTTAAGCCTGACTCATACTCTACTTTTAGTGTGGGTCATTTATTCATTCATCTATCATTGGACACTTGGGCATTTCTATCTCTTGCTACCATGAATGCTGCTGTGAATATGGATGACTGTATATTTCCAACGCAGCCCCCAATAAAGTTTCAAATATGGGAATAAAGTCATGTCATTCCCCAGCTCTGATCTCCCCAGGGATTGTCCCCAGCACTTACTATAAAATCCAGAATCCTTATCCAGAGTTAGGAGGTGTGATCTGCCCTTTGCTGTCCCCTTGACTTGAACTCTGATTGTTTGTCTCCTGCTTCTCTTTGATCCAGCCTTGCTGTCTTATCCATTCTTGAACCTGCCATGTTTTTGGCCACCTCAGGGCCTTTGCACCTTGCAGGTATTTTGTGATTCAGGGCTCAGATCCAATGATAGGCCATGGGGCCACCTCCCCATGGCATGGCCTGTTCCATCAGGCCGTTACGTTATCTTCTTCATAGCATTCTCAGAAATTGTCCTTCAGATCTGCATTCTGAGAACTGCTTGTTTCTTGTCTTTCCCTGCAGAAGAATGTAAGCCTCACTGAGCAGAGCTTGGGCTGTCTTTGTTGTACTGTTCTCCATGTCTGAGCCTAAAATTGTGCCTGGCCCATAGGAGACCATCAGCAAACACTTGCTGCCCCTCATGGCCTTTGGATCCTTTTTCCAAAAGAAGGACCTGGGCACAGAGGTCAAGTCACTGAGGTGTTCCATGGGGCTGCTGGGACCCCACAGTGGTGGTGGTGTCGCTGGTGGTGATACAGGCCCCTGCATTTGAGGACTTCCTGGAATCTTGGCTACATTGCTTCCTGTTTCTGGGAAGGAGGCCCTCCCTGCTCTACATCCAAGGAGGGAGCATCCCGGTCCCTCCTGGGGCCTGGGCCTGCAGCTGTGTTCCCTTCCTGTCCAGGAGCGCTGGGCTTCTGAAGCCTCTGCTTCCTGCACACATGTCTTTGCCTCTGGCCACATCACTGCCTGGCAGAGGACATGGTGGGACATATGCAGAAGGGAGAGAGCAGTTATATGCCCAGATAAGAAGCAAGAAGGATTCAGAGGTCAGCCTTGCTCCATAAGAACTCGCTCTTGAAGGAGCTGACCAGGGTGCTATGAGAACTACATTAATCCCTTCCCAGGGCAGCCTACCCAATAACCTAACCCACCTCTCACTTGGTCCTACCTCTTAAAGAGATACTATACCTCAGCACCACCACCCTGGGGACCAGACTTCCACACATGAGCCTTTTGAGACATACTCCAGCCACCTCCAGAGCCCAGCAGTTACTGTCAAGTGCACTGCAGTAACCTCTCCAAAGTCAAGGCCCTGACTTCTGCCCCTCCTGCAGTCTTTCCTGTCCTATAGATGGCAACCTGATATGTCAGGCCATAACCTTGGAATGACCTTGACTTTCCCTCCCTAGTTGTGTTGCCCATCCAGTCCCTCAGTGCATTCTGTTGAGCTTCCTTCTGTGGGTTTCTAGAATCTGACTGTTTCTCTATACACGACTCCTGTCACAGCCTCCTAACCAGCGACCCTGCTTCCCCTCACCTTCCAGCTGCCAGAGGACAAATCTTGTAAAAAATATGTGGCCAGTCTGATTGTGTCACTCCTTGTCCCCAAGCCCTTCATGACATTCTGAACCTCATCCCTTCCACACTCACCTCTTCTCCCTACCTTCCCAGCCACTTTCACCTGGCTGTTCTTCAAACACACAAAGCACATGCCTGCCCCTGGGCCTTTGCATCTGCTGCAGTGCCCTTCTGGAATGTCCTCGTGGCTTCATCAGGTCTCTGCTCAAGTGTCATTTCAGAGAGGCATCCTTTGAGACTGCTGCCCTGCTACACTTACGCTGTCTGATTCTAGACTCTTGCTTCCTGGCTAATGGCACCACGGGTTTCTTTGGTGACTACTTCATCCATTTTATTGTTTATTAATTTTTCGAGGTAGGGTTTCAGTATATAGCTCAGGTTGACCTGAAACTTGCTTTGTAGCCCATGCTGACCTTGAGCTCATGATCCTCCTGCCTCAGCCTCCCTAGTGCTGGAATTACAGGTGTGCACCAACACACCCAGCTTTGTTTTGTCTGTCTAGCTCACTGCTCTTTCCCCAGCACCTCAGACAATGTGTGGCCCTAGGAAGGGCTCTGTGATGATTGGGAACACAGCAGAGATGACAGATGCTAAAACACAGCTGCAGGCACAGGGGGTGGAGGTCCCCTCTGCCCTGTATGAGGCATGGTGGGGGTGCATGTCCCCAGATCTTGGCCAGTGACCCTGGTAGCCACAGCCTATCAGCTTCCTGGTGCTTTGCCCACACCAGGGGCTCTGGACAGCAGCTCTCCGGTCACCAGTGAGTCCGAGACCTTCTTCTCCACACTGCAGAAGTTCCGGGAGGAAAACAAGGAAGAGTGTATTCACGGTTACCCAGAGTGAGTAGGGCAGGCGAGGGTGGACCGGGGCAGTGGGGGGCTCTCTTGCTTCCCTGCTCATCTCTCTAACCTCTCAGAGCCCAGTTCCTAGGCCTCCACGAGAGCAGCGACATGGATGATGACCACCAATGTGAGTGATCACCTCAGCCAGGCCACTGGGTAGCCCCATCCCCTTTTTCCAGATCCTGGGAGTCTGGGGAAGCCCCTGAGTTATTGGGGCCTCTGGGCAGAAGCTTGGGGTCTGGACACCCCTGGTGGGTTGGTAAATAGTGCCTACCTACCCCCTGTGACCTGCCCCAGCTCCTAAAATCCTCCAGAGCCAGAGGGGCCAGGCCCTGCTGGGCTCCATCCAGTGCCTGGAGCCCCTGCGAGGGTTCCTCCTCAGCCTTGAGCGTGGACCTCAGGCTTTGAGGGGGACGAGGGGCCCACACTTGCTTCCCACAGTGCTGGCGGCCCTTGTGGTTGGGGGCAGCCAGGGGTTCCTGGATCAGGCTGTTCTCCTGGGCTTCGCAGGTGTGTACTGCTACCGAATCAACCGTCGCCTGTTTCCGGTGCCTGTGGATCCTGATGCCACCTGCCGCCTGTGCAGGACACCACGGGACCAGCGGGGCCCTGAGACCCTGCTGGAACCTGCACAGGTCAGGTGAGTGGCCAGAGCTTTGGGAACCCTTGTGGGGCAGCCACAGGGTGTTGGCAGCCGAGGGAGCAGAGCCTTGGTTTTTTTGGGGGGGATGGGAATGGTCCCAAGGCTGGGCCCCCAGCAGCATCCACACCACACTCCTTGCAGGGTGAGCATCCCATTGTCGGTCCTGGATCCCCCACACCGGTACCGGATCCACCGGCGGAAGAGCTTTGACGCCTCTGACACGCTGGCCCTGCCCCGGGTGAGCGGCACTGTGGAGCTGGAGGGGGATGCAGGATTACCTGTGGGTCCTGAGGCCCAGGGAGGCCCCGGCAGGAAGCTTGTCTTAGAGCGGGCATGCACTGAGTTTTAAGTGCCAGCGGGCCTCTTGTATCACCTGGGAAAGGTGGGGTATTTATTACCTTCCCCCCACCCCCCGCAGCTTCCAGGATGGCTGTCTGCCTGTATCCTGCTGAGCTCTTAGGTGACATGTGTATGGTCTTTAGGACTATTTCAAAACTGCACAGCAACCCTTGTGTGAGTCTCGCTCCACACATGGGGAGACTGAGGCAGAGCTGGTGGAAAAGCTGGATTTGAACCCAGCTCTCTAGGTTTCTCTATGAGTTCTGTGGAGATGCCCTTTTCCTTCAGTTGAGGGTGGGACAGCTGAGAGGAAGACTCCTTGGCTCTCTGTCCGGAAGGCGGGTGTAATGGCCCCATCCTTGGGCAGCAGGGGTTGGGGGCAGTTAGTGAAGTAATACAGGATGGGTGCCCAGGGCAGGCTCCCAACACAGGAAGCACTCTATTTACATCCACATTGTTTGGCCCATCTTACAATGGCCCCGGGTGGCCAGATCAGCAGGTCGGGAAGGGGGTGGGATAATCAGCAGGTGGACACAGACCCTTGCCCAAGGGGAAACTGAGTGCTCCTGATTGGGGCACAGCTCCTCCCTGGGCTGTGCCTGGTTTGGGAAGACACCTTTAACCCATTGTCTCCACAGCACTGTCTGCTAGGCTGGGATGTCTTTCCTCCCAAGTCTGAGAAAAGTTCAGCCCCCAAGAGCCTGGATCTCTGGTCCTCAGTCTCCTCCGAGGCCCAGCACCGGAAGCTGCTGGCTTCTAGCCCTTCCTGCCTGGTATGGTCCAGGGTGTGTCTTAGCCTGGGTGCTTGGGACGGACAGGTTCCATTGGGATGGGGCATGCAAGGGCCTGGGCCTGGCAAGGGCCTCAAACATCACCAGTCTTCGACACCTGCCTTGTGCCACCCACGAGGGTTGATCCTGGTTCCAAGACGCAGGAGGAGGGACTGAGGCTGGAATTGGCCATGATGGATTCCCACATGGCCCCTGAGCCTTCCCATTCATCTTCCAGGCCTTGCCAGCGCGGGTGCTACCCCCTGCCCCAATCTGGTCAGAACCCCAGCTCCCCCAGCCCCATGCCCCCCCCAGCAGAAGCCCTGAGGACAGTGCTCAAAGGAAGACGGTGCTCCTGCCAGGTTGTACCCTCCCCTCAGCAGGCAGCACCCACAGGAGCCCTTCCAGCCTCAGGTGGAGGTAGCAAGGGCCCCGCTGTCCTCTGTGGTTCAGAGAGGGGGATTCTGGGGTAGAAGGTGAGGAGATTCTGTGATGAGCCTGTAAATAAAGCCCAGTGCTATGCAGCTTCTGTGCCCATGCGTGCCTTTCTGTCCTGTTGCAGCCCTTGGTGCCCAGGTGACCTGGCCTCAGCCAAGTCTCCCCTCCCCTAAGGAAAGACACTGCCACCTGGCTGTGGGCATCCATCACTGTGACTTTCTGAGCTCTTTCTGTAGCTCCCAGCTCTGAGTAGATGGCTCCCAGCCAGATCTGTGGGTATGGGGGCCCCCAAGACAGGCTGGGGTCAAGGTCTTAGGTAAAGCTGCATGTGGTATGGTGGTAAGTGAATGAGTTCTACCCTTCCTCTTGGTCCCCAAAGCCAAGATCCATCAGCAAAAGTACTTTCCTGGTCCGTGGGCCAGGTGGCTTCCACATGCCACCTCTACCCTCTCCTGGAAGCCATGGGGGATACAGAAAGAACCCCAGGAGGGGAGGTGGGGGAACAGGCCGAGCAGTATGTCAGAGGCAGGTTTGGCAGACCCCAGATGTCCCCTGTGGGATGAATTAATAAGCAGCCCCCTGTTTTGCCCCATCCCTTGTTTGCATTAGGTTGAATAATACACATTTCTGGTTTTGTAGGACAAAAATGGGATAAATGGGGAAACTGATGACCCACAAAGGTTTGTGCTTTTATCTCTTGCTTGTGAAGCTATGAACCCTTCCTTCCCATTGTCTACCCCCCATGTATTAGTCAGGATAGTCTAGGTCATGCTGCAGTAACAAGTTAACGGTCCTGCTCTTGGTGGTTTAGCATAAAGACTTTCTTTCTATCCCCCAGAGTCAGGTCCTGCAGCCCCCTCCACTCTGCCTCCTGTGACCTTCGTTACAGTCCACTGTAAAATCCCCAAGGGTAGGAAGCAAGCCTGGCTTGTCCTCTGTGTCGTCCCCAGGACCAAGTACCACACGTGGCTGATGTACAGTAAAAAGATGTTGAATGAATGAGGGGGTGAGGGGTCCCCAGGTCTTGGGGACACAGAGGCCAGACAGCTCTGGGCCCTAACTATGTGTCCAGGAATTTGGACGTTGTGGTTCAAGGAAAGGTCCTGCTTGACTTTGGCTCTGGGCTCGCCCAACTGGGGAGATACGTGAGAAGCCTGCCGGGGGAGGGCAGAGCGTGCCTCTTCCTGACAGTGAACTTGGGCTCATCCTTTGACCTTCCTGTAGAGGGATTTCACCATCTGTGAAATGGTGATAATGCCGAGAGGTGATCAAGATCCAACGTGCAGAGATGCACACATAGGTTGACCTGCAAACAGGACAACACAGGTGCCCTCTGCTTATGGTGGGCTTGTGACCTGGTCAGCCCATTGTGAGCTGAGGACCCTGTAAGTGGGAATGCTTGAACACACCTGACCTGCTGATGTGCATGGCAACACAGTGCATTGTAGACTCCAAGTTGCTCACCCTGTGGTCCTGTGGCTGACGGGGACTGAGCTGGCCTGCTCCCCAGTGTCAGAGAGGATCAGACCATACAGTACGAGCCTGTGAAAAGGTCCAGATTGGAAGTATGATTTCTACTCAGTGTGAGTCACTTTTGCAGCATTGTCAAATGGAGAAATTGTATGTCAAGCCATGGCAATTCAGGGACAGTCTGTAAGTGGTGGGACACCAAGGTTGTCATCAGCTCTAATGTCCCCATCTTACCCTGTTCAGTACTGTCCAGAATAGAACCCTGTTTCACCACTAAGCCATGCTCCCAGCCCTTTTGTTTGTATGGTGTTTTTGTTTGTTTGTTTGGGTGGGACTGGGGTTTGAACTCAGGGCTTCAAACTTGCAAAGCAGGCGCTCTACCACTTGAGCCAAACCTCCTGTTGGGAGATGAGGTCTTGCAAATTATTTGCCTGGGCTGGCCTCAAGCTGCAGTGATCTTCCCACCTCCACCCTCCAGAGTAGTTGGGATTACAGGTGTGTACCACTGGCCTGGCTCCTGAATTCACTCTTGTTTAACCTTCCCCGGGTGGGAAATAAGAGTATCAAGTCATTTTGCTACCTGCTCCTTGGAGCAGGTAGAGGCAGCGTCTCACTTCTAAAGGAAGGAGGAGGGCTGTGGGTGACTAAGGCCTTCCCTAAGGCCCGTGTCTGGGGACTAGGGGTGGATGGCTGAGGTGTGCAGGAAGCTGTGAGGGGAAGCCCAGGCTGCTGTGGCTGGTGAGGGTGGGTCTTCAGTGACAGGGCGCCTTATGGTGGTTTGGGTGGACCCTGGCCAAAAGTTACTCTCAGGCCCTCCCCCTCTGTAGCTAAGGAGTAGCAGGGTTTCTCTTCCTAGCCCCCAGTTGCCCCAGCCACCTCTGGGACTCAACAGAAACTGCTCTGCCGCCTGCACCCAACCTGCCTCCCCACATCCCCTCCCATGTCCAGGAAGTCAGACTCAGTTGGCTAGGGTTGGTGAGTGTTGGCCAGTGGTGAAGGAGAGGAAGGGTATGACATGAATTTGCAAGGTCTTGGATCTGTTGTGTAGGTGGGTCCTTCCTGTCCCCAGCACTGGGGACACAAAGAACACAGCTGTGAGGGCCACCCAGTGGCCCCTCCTCATTCCCAACAAATTCTGAGCAACTCCCCTGCCTCTCCTGGGGAGGTCTCTGCCCAGAGAGATAGAGACAGCCGAGCAAGCCCTCCCTGTCCCTGTGGGCCCAGGAATCTAGGTGTGGCAGAGCACTGCCCTGGGACTCGATATCCATTTCTGCCCTTGGGGAAATCTGGGCTTCTGAGCCTCAGTCTCCTCATCTGTAGAATGGAGGTTTCATGCTCCCTGCACAGGGGTGTTAGGAGAATGAGGTGAGATGACCAGGTGAAATGTGAAATGATTAGTTCAGAGCTGGGCACTTGGTTAGTAAATATGAAACAAGGGCCCTTGTGTAAGGTATAGGTTGGAAGTCCTGTCTTTGGAATGGTCCACCCCACCTGGCCCAATGAGAGAAGGAGAAGGGAAAGTTTGAAGTAACTTCTCCATTAAGTGACTGATTAGGTCTCTGCCTCAGTGTCTTTGCTGGGGTTGGGCCCACAGGGCTGCACGCCTTGGGGGGCTGGAAAGGTGGGTAGGATAGGAGGGAGGATCAGAGGCTTGGGAACCACACAGACCTTTCCTGGAATCCTTGGGTAGAAACTCTGGGGACATAGGACTGCCTGTGTCACAGCTGGACAGAGCAGGATATGCAACAGGGGTCACACACACTCCAGCCCTCTCCTCCTCAGGGGTGAGACTTGCCCACATCTGCCTTCAGGCACTAGTGCCTGAACCTTTGCTTAGGGTCCCGCCTGGCCCTGTGCACTCCCATCCCCAATAGGGACACCTTGCTGACCTTGTCTTTCCCTGCCATCTGAGTAGGACTGGGTGGGCTCACTGGGCCTTCCTGCCCTGCTTGGGGCGGGGGAGTCCTGAAGGTCGGGGAGGAGGCTCCCAGGTGCTGGCAGTCTCTCAGCCCCCAGTTCTTACAGGGCTCCGTGGTCACTAGCCTTGTGGAGAGCTGACATCTTCTCTGGGTCCATGAAGAGGGTTCAGTGGCAGCCCCCCAAAAGATATGTCCGCCTGGAACCTCAGAATGTGGCGTCGTGTGGAAGAAGGGTCTTTGCAGATACAACTGGAAGCAAATGCATCTTGGTTTGCATCTGGGTGAGGGCAAAGCCAAAAGGAGCACAGCCAAGGGGAAAGATTTGCTATCTGCAGCAGAAAAGGAGAGAATGGAGTTATTTCCAAGTGTACCTCTGCAAAGGAAGTACAGGGGTTTTACTGGGGAGCCTTTACGTGTTCATGTGGAAAACACTTTGACTGGGGAGGCAGAGGCAGGAGGACTGAGAGTTTAAGACCAGACCAAGCAAAATTAGTGAGACCATCTCAAATAAAATGTGAGTATAGCTCAAGTGGTAGAGAGTTCGCCTGGAGTATGTGAGACCCTGGGTTCAATCCCCAGTTCTGGGGGTGGAGGAGGGGAAGAAAGCACTTTGGGGATAGGCACTGAGCATGCTCAATTCAAGATCTATATAACTGAATATGCTTAATTTAAGGTCATAGTTTAAGAAGGCAAGATGGCGGACAGGACACTTCTGGATGCATTTAGCTTATGTATGTGGTAAAGATGGTGGACTTGCTAGTTTCTGGGTACACTAAAAAGGTTTTAGCTGAAGCCGAAGGAAAGGACCCTTTGAAGGTAGATTATGTAGGAGTCTTCTCCTAGGGGTGTCTGCCTCACAAATTCCTCCCCCCGTGACATTTCGCCCCTCATTCTCAACGGTATTTATGGGTGAAGGTCATTCTTCTGAAACTACTTCAGGCTGGATGGGGCACTGTATCCTACTAGAGTTTGAACTCAAGACCTCACGCTTGCTACGCAGGTTCTCTACTACTTGAGCCACTCCGCCAGCCCTGGTAAAATTCTCTTGATGCCAGAGTGAGATGGATCTTAGCTTGAGTTCCTTTTCTAATAATTTTACTACAACATTTTAAGACACATCTAGTTACAACATAAGTCATGAATAAAATCCCTAAATGCAACTCTTAATTTCAATAGCTAAGAAAATATAGACTCACGGCCCTGGGGAACCCAGGGGAACCCTCCTGAGAACCATTTATTTATTCCTGGTGCCTCTGTGGAGATTCGTTGAAGCCTACATGCTGAATCTTTTCAGCTTCAGCAGATGTGTTCGTGTACACACAAGAGGTATTTCCAGTAACACAAACCCCATCTTGCTCAGCCAGAGGACAGACCGAGGCCACCAGGTGACGAACACTGCTTTAGCTAAGGCTCTCTCCCTCTGCTGAGCCATGGCCCGGGCACTTTCATTAGTTTTCTTCAGGGGGATAGACAGCTTTCTAACCATGAGTTCATGGGTTTCTCCCCATGACCCCCACCAGGGCAAACTTTCTGCCAAACGTATACCAGAATCCATCTCTGGTACCCCATTAGAGGGCTTAATTCTGTAGAATAACTTTAGTATCCTATGCCAGCATTTAGTTTCTTGGGGCCAGGAGATAGAGGTGTGGCCAGGTGCCTCAGCAGACACGCTCCCCCAATTCTCCAGCTGTCTATAGCCATGTACACATCCGTGGGGCTCCTTCAAAGCCCCCCCAAACATATCATGACAGAGCACATAAGACTCCCAGTCAATTGTATAGATTGAGGGCTGGCAGAGGGGCTCAAGTGGTTGAGCACCTGCCTAGCAAGCGCAAGGCCCTGAGTTCAAACCCTAGCACTGCAAGTTAAATAATAATAATAACAATTGTGTAGGTTGAGGTCTGAGTCTCGGGGCAAAACTTCTTGGATTGGGTCAAACCAGTGATCTGTAACCAGTGGAGTGTGACCTTTTGGTTGGTGTCTTAAAGGGTCTGGAGTGATTTATAACGGAGATTTATAATGGAGGAGGGCTGGTAGAGTGGCTCAAGTGGTAGAGCGCCTGTCTAGCATGTGCAAGGTCCTGAGTTCAAACCCTAGTACTGCCAAAAAAAAAAAAAACCCTTAAACGTTTATGATGGAGGGGAGGTGCACTCTTTGCATCCCAAATATCAAGTTTTTGCAAGGCCAGATACAGGGGGAGGATACAGTTCCTGACGGGCTCTGGGAGACTGGAGCTCATAGTGTACCCTTCCTTTATTCAGAAT